TGCCCTTGGTGTCCAGCAAGTTTTTTTTATTTTCCAGGCTGCTCTCTCAACCAGTTTAATCAGGATTGCTGTGCTGTCTTTTTACAACCCCAGTAGAGAGAAGTAGATGTTTTGTGGTCTTGAAAGCTTAAACCTTATTATCTTTTCTCTTAGGAATCACCAAAATCAAGAGAGATATTGTGTTTGCTGCCAGCCTCTACTTGTAAAGAGTCAGCTAAAGGAATGTGGGACTTTCGATTATTCACCACCTGTGTGATTACAGTTGACTACAAATGCCTGCAAGTGTTGATTTGCTTCTCCCATCTCAAGACGGTTACCCTCATTTTAATGTGTATTATATTTCAATCGTTATTCTGTGAAAGCATATTACATACACGTTTATACATAAGCATTACATTTTTTTAATAAAAAATGTACAGGTGGGGCAGTGTTTTGGTGGAAGGCTTGAAATTTTTTAATGAACTCAGAGCTATTAGATAACCATTGTGTTAAATGTTAACTATATACACACGATAAAGTGGGCATCCAAGAGGCATAGCAGCAGCAGTCCACTAAGGCCTGTACACTGGGAGGAAAAGCATCCTCTTGCCTTCTGGTTGCAATTTTAGAAAGCAGGCCAGCTTCACCTGGGCACCATGCAGTCCTTCAAGGCTGGTGATTGTTCCGATAGTGATTCCCAGTTGTTGGTGTTTCATGCAGAGTTGTATGTGAGTCCTCCTCTTTTCTCTCTTTAAAAGGAGAACTTTTTTCTTTGAAGAAATCTGATACATATACGGCCTATATAAAACAGGTTGTATTTAGAATAGGGTAAAATATTTAATGGTATAATTTACATAAGTTTAAAAACCATACACAAAGCTGCAATAAGCAGCTTCCTAAAATAAACAAAAGTATGTAAATTAGAGGGGTACAGTTTAAGGATATAAAAAATTAGTGGCTAGTAGGGATTCTTTTTTTAAAGGAGATTATTCCAAATTGAGAGTTGCTTTGTTATGTCTTCAGCAAACAGCTTCATTCTGCCAACACTTAGAGTTATTAACTTCATGTAAATTAGCTTTTTCAATTCATACCAAAAAGAAAACTGTTTATAGCAAGAGCCTTTTACAATAAAAATACTAAGATTTTTATAACTTTTGCAAGAGTAACCTAGTTTTTACCTGTTGTCTATCCTAAAATGACTTAATAACACGTGATTCTTACCCACTAGGAATTATTGAACCATAGTCTCTGCCTTTGGGTAGTTTTCTCACTGGGGATTTTTTTTCTGTTTATTTATCCAAAAGTTTAGCAATATCAACAATGTAGGCCCTGTATACTTACAACTAATATTGCAACCAGAGCTCCTTGAATGAGTCCAGTCAATACATCACTCCAATGGTGTTTATAGTCAGAAACTCGAGAAAGGCCCACATAAATGGATACAGCAACAAGACCAAACTGCAGCGTGGGGCGTAAGAGTCTTGCCCAGTCTCCCTTCATCCTGGCTTGAAGGTAAAGCTAATAGAAAAGATAAAAATAAAATAATTTATTTAACATATCAACTTAAAACTATATATTTTTTTTTTTTTGAGACAGAGTCTCGCTTTGTTGCCCGGGCTAGAGTGAGTGCCGTGGCGTCAGCCTAGCTCACAGCAACCTCAAACTCCTGGGCTCAAGCAATCCTCCTGCCTCAGCCTCCTGAGTAGCTGGGACTACAGGCATGCGCCACCATGCCTGGCTAATTTTTTCTATATATATATTTTTTTAGTTGTCCAGATAATTTCTATTTTTTAGTGGAGACGGGGTCTCGCTCTTGCTCAGGCTGGTCTCGAACTCCTGAACCTTGAGCGATCCACCCGCCTCGGCCTCCCAGAGTGCTAGGATTACAGGCGTGAGCCACCGCACCCGGCCTTAAAACTATATTTTACATTAAGTGTCACCACACCTCTGAAGGGTTGGCATTTAAATGATTATTAAAGTAGTATATGAAATAAGACTTTTAGGCAAGCATTCTTGTATGTATTAATGACTAAAGGTTAATCCTTTCAAACAAAGGGAAAAAAACAAACTTGCCCTGGTAACTTTTGTTTACAAGAATTTATTACCAATCTAGCTACACCACCCTTTAAATTGTAAACAAGGCAAGGGTCCTTGTTTATGACTTTCTAGACAGGATTTCATGGGCGGCTACTCCCCTCACAATTTGGATTATAATTCTGACTGTCAAAGTCTGGTGTTGTCATTAGTTCCGAGTCTTGGGATAAAACTGCTGGCATTCTGGGCACAGGCTGCCCTTGCCCTGTCTAGGGACTATTTAATTATTTCACCAAACAATTTACTTGAGAGCTCTGCTAGCCTCAAAGTATTTAAGAGGGCAACTGCGACTAAACTTATAAGTATACTTATAAGTATATATAATATACTGCCCAAGTAAATAATACAGGTTGTGGTTTAGTCGTGATCCAGCAAACGAGTGTATTCTTTCAATAGCACTTGTACCCGGTTTAAGTTCTTTTACTTTCCTATATACTAATCAGACCGAAGAATTTCCCTTTCCTGTGTCAGCCTGCCTTTGACTGTAGGTGCATCCCTAACAATTTTTATGCAGAAACAACTCTTTTAAAGTCAGTCTGGGCTGGGCGCGGTGGTTCACGCCTGTAATCCTAGCTCTCTGGGAGGCCCAGGCAGGCGGATTGTTTGAGCTCAGGAGTTCGAAACCAGCCTGAGCAAGAGCGAGACCCCGTCTCTACTAAAAATAGAAAGAAATTAATTGGACAACTAAAAATATATAGAGAAAAAATTAGCCGGGCATGGTGGCGCATGCCTGTGGTCCTAGCTACTCGGGAGGCTGACTGAGGCAGGAGGATCGCTTGAGCCCAGGAGTTTGAGGTTGCTGTGAGCTAGGATGACGCCACGGCACTCTAGCCAGGGCAACACAGTGAGACTCTGTCTCAAAAAAAAAAGTCAATCTGCTCTCATTAAGACAAATAAAAACTGCCTAATTTCTATCTAATAACAATTTTTAACATTCGCTTTTAAGATTCTGTTCCGTAATTTATGACTATAGACTTAATTAAATGCAGTCCTCAAATAATTCACGTGGCTCTGCCCATTGCCACTGCCTATTTAAAACAGATGCACAAATCCATTCCCAGTTCTTTGGGCACTACTGAAGTTGTTTAGTTCTTAGCAGCTGGCAAAGACTCGGGGGCTAATTTTATCAGCTACTTAGTATAAGCATCTTGTTCTAAAAGAGCATACCAGTTGTTTGACTGACTCTGACTCATTAGTTAGTTTAAGTGCTACCGCCTTTCTGCAGAGTCCTTCTTTATTGATGCTTAAGCTATGAAAAAATTAAGTAAGAACCTTGTCTCAGGATTCATTCACTTTATTTCTACCTCCATTGGAAGCTATTCGTTTTAAGGAGAAAATTTCCTTGACTGCAGATGAAACCAAGGTTTGGATATTATTGTCAAAAAGTTCAGCTGTCCCCATTTGGTTATTTAGCTGCCTTTGATACAAAGTTTAAAAGCATAGCTTTTTCAGACTATAAAAATAAATACCTAGGAATTACAAACACTTATGAATACACACATCTTAGGGAGCGCTCTTTGCTTAGGACAAAGCAAGAAAAAAATAACTCTAAAATGGACTTAAGCTAGTCCCATTTTGTACTTCACACCTAAAGGAAACTCAGAGATAGGATTTTCAAGGTCTTTACAACTCAAACATCCCTCTAACAATATTTTCCTTCCAAACAACCCTGACTTTGACTCCGGGTAGCCTGCAGTCATATGTTATGTATTATTTTGCCCAAATTTCTTCCCTAACATGCGAGTGAAAAAAATTAACACTCACAGATCGGTAATCAAATAAGCTCCAGTACTTCAGGCGAAACCTTTACCCCTGTAAGTAGCTGGTTTTCTCCTTACACATCTACCTAAGAATAGATGTTTCCCCCATCAGTAAGACACCATGGACCCAGAAATTATTTCATCCTGAGAGAGTTCTGGGATTCCCTGATTGTGGTTCTACATCTGACCTTACACTCTAGGCTTTGGCTCCTCTGGTGACTAATGGTTGACTTGAGTGCAGTCTCTGGCCACAGAACAATACTCAGGCTACGGGTGAAGCTGGCTGTTTGAATGTGCTTCCTACGTGCCTGCACTGTACTTCCCTGGCACTAGGATACTCAGTGTAGCGCTGCAAAGGCCAGGCACCTCATACAGTCTGCTCTTCCCTGTGAAGACTTCCATTTCAGGAGAGCACAAGCAAGTAAACACCCTGAGTCTCTCGGACCTTCGGTCACCTGAGTTCCACAGTGGACATGCCCAGAACTCTGGACTTTGGCTTCTCTCCTCCCATGTTAACAGCCCAAACTCTCCTATATGAGTAGGTTCAACAAAACACACATGATTTTCTTTCTGGCTCCACCTTGATTTTGGGCAAAGCAAATACTTGGCATGACTTCCTTTAAAAGGAAGTCTCCCTTCTTCCAGCTTTTTCTCTACCTGCCTCAGAGAAGTTCAATGTCTGAAGCTTCTCAGCACTGTTCTGTTAGAACTAGCTATAGGGACAGAGCTCACACTTTAATGCCAGATTTAATACTAAGAAGGCTGTATATCTATAGGTCCCTGCCTTTTTACAAATTCTACTCTTCCCCCATCCCCATATATATGCCACTTGCCAAGTATATATTCACTAAACCTATTCTAAGTAAGACATTCGGATGTTTACTTTTTAAGAGTTATAATAACTTACAGAACTCCTTGACCAACACTGTGTGTGGTATCAAACAAGCTCAGTAGCAGTGCCTATTACTTTCAAATTCCCCTTCTGGGGGGACGTCCTATTCACAGACAAGTGAAAAGGCAGCCCTATTTGTTCCACACAGCCCTGCCTTCTGAGAGGGCACTGACTAGATGACTTATACCAGGCCTCTCCCAGAGATCTGCTGGGCTGTATTCTCCCTCTGGAATTTATCCTGGAAGTATGAAGGAGCTTTCTATTTTTAGAAGTTGTAGAAAGCACCTAATGGGTACATGACAGATTATTTACAAAACTAAAGTTAAGAGGAAGCCAAAGCTATGGTTACTCAAGGAGAGCAAGGCATTTAGTAGAAAACAATGGAGTGGCTTTAAGATGGCTGACTAGAAGAATCTGATACTTGCCTCCTCCACAAAGTAGAACCAAAATAGTAGATAAGCATACTTCAAATAGATCACCTAAGAGAGAACAATGGAATTCAAGAGAAGTGGCAGGAAACACCTAAAGCAAGGAAGGAGAGGAAAGCAAGGTTGCCTCCTTGGCTGGGAAGGCTTCCAATGCCGGTAAAGAGACGGTGAGTGACCCACAGTGATCCACACTCCCAGTGCAGACTCTTGTAATCCAAACCATTAGGAGAGCCCCTTAACCCACCCAGGCCCTGAGACTAACAGGGTGCTGCCT